TGCCGCCGGAGGGGCGTCCGTGGCCTTACAGCCTGCGCGGAGCGGGCGGGCGCCGTAACTTCGCCTGTGCCCGAACGCTGAAGGGAGGGACCAGCGCTCCCCAGAGCGATGAAGCACGTTTTCCCTGGCCCTCCTCAACCTTTTAATCACCGCTTGTTAGGGACGTGTTTGGTAGGGCACAACCCAACCACCCACCCTGCCCCCTTTCCCGTCTGCTGTGGGAGCAGCCTGTACCCGGTTCCCACCCTCGCTCCGGGGCTGTCTCATTAATATTCCTTTCCCCACTTGCCCATTGGCACAGTCTAATTGGAATGCAGAGAGAAGAAAAATCTGTCATTTAAAATGAGCTCAGGATGCAGGCAGCCAAGAAAACAAACCTTCCGTTTTTTGCTCAGATTGCATTACTTTCTGTTGTGTTGTCTTTTAAAGCATGTTGCCCTCCTTTCTTGTACCCAGTCCTTCTTTGGACCGCTCCTAGGATTCATTTGCACTGATTTTAGGTTTTCCAGCACAAGTAGATCAGGACAGGCTTGACAATTAAAGGGTTATATTTAGTGTAGCCTCATTTTGCATTGTTAACTAGGAAATAATCAAATAACACCAGCCATAACACTGCAGCTTTTTTTTTTTTTTAAAAACCAATCTCCATCCATCTCCTTTCCTTTCAATCTATTAATTGCAGAAAACACAGCTCTCAATTATCCTCTTAACATCACTGGCCTACCTGCTTATTGCATTTTGGCTGAAGGTGTTTAGCTGAAGTTTCCTTCTGAATCATTACCAGTTCCAAAATGAAAATGTGAAAGTGCATGCACAGACATGGGGAGGGGGGGGAGAAAAAAAATCTTTTAGTCAGTTAACTATAGAATCAACTACAAAATTTGGGAGATTCTTTTTCCTACTTTCCTTTCTGCTGTTTTTCCTTTGTTTCCCGCTTCCTAAATGTTGCTGCTTGCAACTGGAGGTCTCCTTGTTTTCCTTCTCTTCTAGTGTCTTAATGACTCCACAGCAGAACATGAGAGACAAAAGAGGGAAGAGAAGTGCTTGGGCTGTCAAGACAATCTGTTACTTCCAACTTTGAGATATTTCATAACTTGCAGTAAGACTGGGAAGAGAGAGGGAACAAGCTGGATTTCTTTCTTTCTAAATAACCCGTAAAATGACAGCCTAAACTGTGGGAAATTACAAAGATAAGGACACAAGTGCAAAGAACACTCATTCCAAAGAACACTCATTCAGCAGCCATCTAGCCCTGGCCATGCCTAAGGTACAAGGCCCTCCTCATCTTTCCCCATCCAGATGTTCTTCGTTGTCTGATCAGTTAAGCATCTATGGTCAATCTAAAGTAATCTTTGGATCTGCCTCTAAGTCCCCATGTATTAGGAATTAACAACTGATACTAAAGGTAGGATCAACCCTCACAGTAAAGAAAACTAGTTTTAACTACTTGTCCTAAGAAAGGGTGCCTTCCACAAATATCAACATGCAGAGAAAAAAAAAACATTAAAATAGAAGCAGAATAATTTATTTTCCACAGGTATTTGCGGCATCCCTTCCCAAAAGACACTTCAAGTAACCATAATACCAAAACCAGAATCTAATCTTTGTATGTGAGTTGCACCAAAACATAGAAAAACACATTTGTTAAGGAAAGCAGTCACAGTGGCTTCTTGTTGCTGTGATAGCACATTGTCATTCTTCAAAAGCCACACGGGGTAGGTATGTATTTGTAATGAGCTTGTGCTCAAAGCCTTCCTTCAGAAAAATGTGCTGGGTTTTAGGCTCTAATCACAATTATTACCTGTGATGTTCTCCAAGATTTGCCATAGCTTCATGCATTGAAGTCACACTTCAGATAAACCAAATACATTAAAAGAATCAGAAACTTGAAAATAACTCCTCATTCCCATTCTCAGACAAGTGGAGAGCTCTATGGGGCATCCCAAATGACAGGCCAGCTGAGTACAGGGACAGATCACTGAGGCAACATGTAAGAGATCAGAGGCAATATAATTATTACCAGAGAGAAGGTTCTTTGTGATAGTCCCACACCCTTATAACCCATGCTGCTGAAGAACTGTAAGACATTTGAGGAGGGAAGTGTGGTATTGCTGGTGTTTTATTGTTTTGTTGGGTTACATGCATGCATAGCTCACAAACACTGGATGCGTTAGCTCTTGTTGGTTAGAAACAGCGCACTTGAGCCCGCTCAGGTACATAGTCAACAGGGAACTCTCTCTTCCTTTCTGTGTTGTTATTTGTGGAGTGGTATTGAATGCTGTCATTCATTACTGAATTTCAGTTAGCTCTGAGTCATGTGTGGCGTCCAACACATCACTTGGGTTTGTGAGACTCTTCTGACTCCTGATGCAACTGCCCTAGGAGGTAGGGAGTCATGCCATTGGTTTGAATAGGACTTGAAACAGTCCACTGGAAGGCAGCAGGTCTACAAATTGTTATTTTCAAAGTATAAACAAATTATTTTATTTAAAAGATTCTCTTTCTTTTCTGCTATATTTGCTGAAATATATAACTAGAATTCAATCCCTATTTTGATATTTTAAAATATCTAAAAAATATCTTAAAACAAAGGGACCTTACAATCCTATTATTCCCCCTTGCTAAGGATCTCAAAGCTCTGTACATGCTTATAAATGGTGTTTCACAATACCTTTGTGAGATTGGAGAGACTTCCTCTGTGAGGACAAATTGAATAGCAGGGTATGTATGTGACATTTCATAAGCCCTTCTTCCAGTTTAGAGGTAACAGAATCACAGGAGAGTTTAAGCCCAGGCAAGTCACTCTCCATATTGCAAAATACTAAATCAAATGGTTCCTTTACCATTTTGCTTACAAGAATAATTTAGAAGACAAAGTTACTCCATCCTTCAGGCAGAATAAATTACTCAAAAACAATACCTCCAATTTGTAGCCGTTAGGGAGGTGGCAGTGAACATTTTCTGTAATGGACATTATTAAGTAATGTCAAACAGAACTTAACACAGTATGTTGATCTGGAGTATGTTCTGCAGTATACTAGTTCCAGACAAAAATTTTGGCAGATTGAGGTAATCATCATGTACTTTGTGTTGCTTGAGAATAATCTTCACCCTTATATCTAAGCCAGCAACAGTCTTAGCTGTAAGAATAAACCCAATAATCATTGGGGTTCAGTAAAGTGATGCACATGTGTGAAAATTGAAGTGATATTTCAGAAATTTTTGTATGTGATATAGCAGTGGACTTTTTTTTACTATAAAGTATACTTTTTATAAATGCTTTAGTCTCTAAAAAGGCATAAAACACATGTCAATCAATATGGAATCAGTTATTGGAAAGACTAGTTTATTTATCCTTTTAAAATTTAGATTTGTAAGAATTAAATGGTTAACGATTCATGTATAAATGCAAGTGTTTGAGATACATAACCAAGATACAATGCCTATGTAATTTTAAACATGTATGTTACGTTATTTTATTTTGTTTTGTTTTAGTGAATAATGACAAAATAAAAAGTTGAAGGGGGAATTAGTTTTTGACCAAGTCAGTCCCTAGACTGGTTCATCATGCAGCTACATGAATGCTAATCTGAGCCAAAAGAAAGGACAACCTGGCTCCTTTCAGGAGCAGCTCCATGATATGCCTCATTGACCTGATGATGGAAAGAAGATTTCTGTAAGAAAAGAAGACTCAGGTCTCCAAAACCCTCCTAGTCACTGACTTTCTGCAAGATAGCACCCCAAATCCTTCAGAGAGATGAAATTATTTTGAAATGCACTGTTCAACAATAGATGCTAGTATAATAAACAAGGAAGCAAGAAAAAACTTATGGCCTTGTGTGGTGCCCACTGTTCTAAGTGCCTGAGCAACTTTTGATCTTTAGGGTTTTCAATCTAACTGTGACACTACAGGACTGGGAAGAGTTCAGTCTTCCTGACTGAAGAGCAGAAGTAAATGGCCAGGGCCAGCTTTATTTCAACTGTGCGTAATCGGCTTTAAATCTCTTTCCAAAGTGCACTGGGAAGTTCAGAACAGGAAATTGAAATGAACTTTACCATGTTACATATTGATGAGTGTTTTTTCTTTCCCAGGATTATACTTCCCCCAAATCTGAACCGTAAAATTCACATCAGGATTTAGTCTTCTCCAAATACACCAAGATCTACAGAAAGAATGAGTGGAGAGTCTTTGCTGTCTATCAGGGGTAGTGAGACTTGCATCATCCTTTTAGCGTAGGTCTTCCTTGATGGGACAAACATGAGGCAAGCAGCAGAGGGCAAAGCAACACACACACTGGCTGGGATGGGAAAGCTGAGATTAATACAACTGGCTCATAACTCTTGGTTTGAGTGAGGGGAAGGGGAGA